CATCTTCCTTGTCAGACTTTTTCCCAATCTTTTTGACCCTTTTCATCTTTGGCTCCTCAAAGCAATTAAAAATGGCTGCGTAATTAACATTCCTCGAACAAGCTCTCTTAGGTCTGTTACAACCAACTCGTCCGTTCCCTTCTTCTTCGACCTTAGATCCAACTTCCTCACCAGCCTTAGTTTCGCCTTCTTCTTCTTCATCCTGAGCTCCATTTTCCTCATCGACCAGAACCCGCCCTTCTTCTTCAGCCTTAACTTCGCTTTCTTCTTCAACTTTAGCTTTGCCTTCTTCTTCTTCGACCCGTACTTCGCCTTCTCCTTCTATCAGAACTTCACCTTTTTCCTCAACCCGAACTACGGTTTCCTCTTCAGCCCTAACTTCGCTTTCCTCTGCAGGATCCATGGCGAAAATCAAATTCTTCACTCTTCGATCTCTCAAATCAATGGCGAAAATCAGATTTTTCACTCGTCTTACAATCTCTTTGAGTCCGTCCCCAATCAATAAACAGGATAGTGAATAACTCAAAACCCTAGAACGCTGGATTTAAGGCGGATACGCCTATATATCGGGAAACTGAATCGTTTCACTAAAAAGTAAAGTTTGGGTTAAATAAAGTCAAATCAAATTAATTGATTTCCCGAAAAAATCTTGGTTTATTTCCCGCTCGTTTTTATTAGTTTCTAAATCCACTTCAAAGCGAATTAACAATTACGGATTTTCAGATTTGACAAGAATAATATCTTCTCCGTATTCCTTAATAGTGTTTTTGGTATTTTATTTAGTAGTTAACACAGCTTCCAGCTTCGAATTATTATACCAATTAAGTGTTTTTTTACCTTTTTCATTTAATCAATAGCCTCAGTTTAATCAACATGAATACTTTGTTGATGTGTCAAAAGACTCATAGCTTCAGTTTTTTTTTCTTCTCGAAATGATTTACAGATTTCCTTATAAACAAATTCTTCTTCCTTTCTATTACGTTCCATAATGTTTGTCAGTTATACCATTTGTTTAAATATTTGTAATTCGACTTTGATACACAAAAGAGAATCCCTTGTTAATAGCTTCTAGTTACTCTTTTGTGCCAAATTACAATAAATTGAATAACTAACCATAGAATGTAATACCTCTCAAATATGATTAGAGAAGAAAATCAAATATGATTACGAGCATACATATTACAAGTCAAGAATATAATATTTGATTAATACAAATGGATGACAGATTAGTAGTCAATATAATCCAAGTTTTGATTAAGTAGGAAGATAGAGGGAAACATGTACTCTAGAGGAGACGAAGACTTGGACACAATGATTCGATTATTCGTTTCGTATGCACAACTGGAT